TTTATAATGGCATTCGTCATTATAAACCCCTGGTCGTACCACATAAAATGGCGGACGAACAGGGAAAGGTTTAGCAACATGGCGGCTATACGTGCGCACACGCAGCATCGCCTCACTTACTGAAGGATAGATGTTAGGGTTAGGGTAGTAAATAAATAATTGACAACTATTTATTTACTCTATCGTGTTAAGATCTCTCGCTAATCAATTAAAGAAGATTCATACTAATGAACAAACGATGAAAATAAAACGACTAAAATTTTAATGAAAGATCCTCTCTTTATTGAATTGTTTGTCTTTTATTTCTTTTCTGTTTAGTCTTGGCATAATGGTCACGTGACGACATCTGCCTGGAAAGGTCAGATGTCACGGTGAGGTTGGTCCAAGGGTAGCGTAGCTATGCGTCGTGAGTCACTTCTTACTGATGTATATAATTATCATAGATATCCTTCACATTACTGCTGGGCGATGAGTCATGTAGTGGCTGGCTGCGTAGGACAAGCGTGTGTATAGTAGCGTTATAGGGGTAGCGGTGTGGTAGAGGCGTTGGAGGGGTAGCGGTGTGGTAGAGGCCGACTGTTGAGAAGGTTAGCGCTGGCGTAGAGGCTGTTGGAGGGTAGCGGTGTGGTAGGAGGACGTTGGAGGGGTAGGGGTGTAGGTAGAGGGCGTTGGAGGGGTAGGGGTGTCTAGAGGGCGTGTGGGAGGGGTAGCGGATGGCTAGAGGGCGTTGGAGGGGTAGTGGGTGTGGTAGAGGCGTTGGAGGGGAGGGTCGTGTGGTAGAGGCGTTGGCAGGCGTAGGGGTGTGGTAGAGACGTTGGAGGGGTAGGGTGCTTAGGTAGAGCGTACGAGGGGGTAGGCGTGTGGTAGGGTGCGTTGAGGGGTAGGGGGTGTGGTAGAGACGTGGAGGGTAGCGGTTTGTGTGTAGAGCGTTGGAGCGGGTACTGGGAGTGTGGTAGAGGTACGTAAGGGTGTATGGGGTTGGTAGCAGGTGTGGGGAGGGGTAGGGCGCCTGTGTAGAGACGTAGGAGGCGGCAGTGGGCCATGTGCGTAGAGGCGTTGGAGCGGGTACGGGTGTGGTAGAGGCGTACGAGGGCCGTAGGGGTTGTGGTAGAGGTGTTGGAGGCGGTAGCGCGGGGTGTGATAGAGAGTAGGAGGCGGCAGGCGGTGTGTAGAGGCGTTGGAGGGTAGCGGGTGTGTTAGCCAGGACGTTGGAGGGCGTAGCGGTTTGTGGTAGAGGCGTTGGAGGGGGTAGGGTTGGGCTAGAGGCGTTGGAGGGGTAGGGGATGTGGTAGCAGACGTTGGAGGGGTTTCAGGGTCGTGTGGTAGGCGTACGAGGGGTAGGGATGTGATAGAGGCTGTGGAGCGGGTAGCGGGTGTGGTAGAGGTGTTGGAGGGGTTAGCGGGGGCGGGAGAGCGCTTGGGAGGGGTAGGGGTGTGGTGCGTAGGAGGCGTTGGATGGCGGTAGGTGTGTGGATAGAGGCGTTGGATGGGTAGGGGTGTCGGTAGAGACGTTGGAGGCGTAGGGGTGTGGTAGAGTCGGTTGGAGGGTATGCGGTGTGGATAGAGGCGTTGGAGGGTAGGGTGTGTAGAGGCCGTTGGATGGTGGTAGGGTGCTGTAGAGACGTTTGGAGGGGTAGGGTGTTGGTAGAGGGCTTGTTGGAGGGTAGGGGTGTGCTAGAGGACGTTGGAGGGGTAGCGGTCTGTGGTAGGGCCGTTATAGGGGTAGCGGGTGTTTTGGTAAGGCGTTGGAGGGCGTAGGGGTGAGGGGTAAGGCGTTGAGGGTAACGGCGTGTGGTAGAGGGCCGTTGAGCGGTAGGGGGTTGCGGGCTAAGACGTTGGGGGGGGGTAGGGGGTGGTAGAGACGTAGGAGGGTAGGGGTGTGTACAGGCGTTGGAAGTACGTGCTGTCGGTGAGGCGTTTCTGAGGGGGCTAGCAGTTGGGGTAGAGGCGTTGGAGTGGTAGGCCGTGTGGGGGGGTGAGAGGCGGTGCGAAGGGTGAGGTGTGATAGAAGCGTTGGAGGGTAGGGTGTGCGTAAGGCCTCCGTTGGAGCAGTAGGGGGCTGTGCTAGAGCGACGGTTTGGGAGCGGTAGGGTGATCGGTAAAGGCGTTTGAGGGTAAGGGACGTGGGTGGGGGGTAGAGGGGCGTTGCCGAAGGGTAGGGGTGTGGTATGAGGCGTTGATGGATTAGGGTGGGGTAGAGGCGTTGGGAAGTAGAGAGCGGTTGTGGTAGAGCGTGGCAGGGTAGGGGTGTGTAGAGGCGTTGGAGGGCGTAGCGCCTGTCCGGATAGAGGGCGTTGGAGGAGTAGCAAGTAGCAGTGTGGTAGAGGCGGTCTGAGTGGCTAGGGGTGGTGTGTTAGAGGCGGGTAGGAGGGTAGAGGGTGTGGTAGAGACGTTGAAGGTGAGGGGTGTGGTGAGCGTAGGGGCGGGTAGGGGTGTCGAGTAGAGGCGTTGAGGGTAGCGTGTGGTAGAGGCGTAGGAGGGGAGGGGTGTGGTAGATGCGTTGAGGGGTAGCAGTTTGTGGTAGAGACGTAGAGAGGGGTAGGGGTTGTGGTAGAGGCGCTTGGAGGGGTAGCGGGTGGTGGTAAGGCGGTGTGGTTGTTTGTTATGAGTGGTGAGAAGCGTTGGGTAAGGGTAGGTGGGGTAGAGGCGTAGGAGGGTAGGGGTAGTGGCAGCAGGCGGTTGGGAGGGGAGTTAGGAGTCTGATATGGACTTGAAGGTAGCCGGTGTGGCGTAGAGGCCGGTTGGGGGGTAGGGGTGGTAGAGACGTAGAAGGGGGGGTAGATGGTGTGCTGAGACGTTGAAGGGTAGGGGGGCGTGGGGCGGTGTGGTAGAACGTTGGAGGGGGGTAGGGCGGGGTGTGGTAGAGACGTGTGGAGGGTTAGGGGTGTTGTAGGGAGGCGGGGGGTGGGTGGTGGGTTGGTGGTGTGGTTTGTGTTGTGGTTGGGGAGGGGGTGAGGGTGTGGTGGGGTAGACGCGTAGGCAGGGGTAGGGTGTGCGTAGGAGGCGCGGGTGTGGGAGGGTAGCTGGTGTGTGAGATGGTGGAGTAGGGGGTGTGGTAGAGGCGAGGAGGGTAGAGCGTGTGGTAGAGCCGTTAGAGGGGTAGGGCGTGTGGTAGAGGCGTTGGACCGGTTGTGGTGTGGTAGAGGCGGTTGGAGGTAGGGGGGTGGTAGAAGGTTGGAGGGGGGGTTGCGCGACGTGTGGGTAGAGACGGTAGGAAGGGGTAGTGGCGTCCCCGGTAGAGGCGTTGGAGAGCGGTAGCGGTGTGGCTAGAGGCGTTGGAGGGGTACGGGTGTGGTAGAGGCAGTACGAGGGGTAGGGTGTGGGTAGACCGGGTGTTTGGCAGGCGGGGAGGGTGTGCCTAGAGACGTGAGGAGGAGGCAGGGGGCTGTAGAGCGTTTGGAGGGGGGAGCGGTGTGGCGCTAGAGGCGTTGAGGGTAGCGGTGTGGGTTAGAGGCGGTTGGAGGGGTAGGTGTCGCGTAGAGGCGTTGGAGGTAGGGTGTGGTAGAGACGTGGAGGCGTAGGGGGTGTGGTAGAGGCGTACGAGGGGTAGGGGTGCTGATAGAGGGCGTTGGAGGGTAGGGGTGTGGCTAGAGGCTGTTGCGAGGGGTAGGGTGTGTAGCAGGCGTTGGAGGGGGTAGGGGTGTGCGTAGAGGCGTTGGAGGCGTAGGCTGTGTGGGTAGAGGCGTTGATGGGTAGGGGTGTGTTAGAGACGTTGGGAGGGGCTAGGGGTGTGCTAGAGGCGTTGGAGGGGTAGCGGTGTGTAGGACGGGCGCGTGGCGTTGGAGGGTAGGGGTTGTAGAGGCGTGGATGCGGTAGGGTGTGGTAGCAGACGTTGGAGCGGTAGAGGGTGTGGTAAGAGGCGTTGGAGGGTAGCGGTGGTGCGGTAGAGACGTTGGAGGGGGTAAGCGGTGCTGTGTAGAGGGCGTTATAGGGGTAGCGGTGTGGTAGAGGCCGGTGGGAGGGGGGTAGGGGTGTGTAGAGGCGTTGAGGGGTAAGGGGTGTGGTAGAGGCGTTGGAGGGGTTACGGGTGTGGTAGAACGTTGGGGGGGGGTAGGGGGTGCGTAAGAGCGTAGGGGGTAGGGGTGTGGTAGGGCGTTGGAAGGGTACGTGCTGTGTAAGGCGTTGGAGGGGGTAGCAGATGATGGGTAGAGCGTGGAGTGTAGGGTGTGAGAGACGTTGAAGGCGTAGGCGGTGTGTAGAGGCGTTGGAGGGCGTAGGGGTGTGGTAAAGGCGTTGGAGAGGTAGCGGGTTGTGGTAGAGACGTTGGGGGTAGGGTGTGGTAGAGCTGTTTGAGGGGTCAATGCGGCGTGTAGAGGCCGTAAAAGGGTAAGTGGGTGTGCGTAGAGGCGATTGGATGGGTAGGGGTGTGGTAAGAGGCGTTGGAGGAGTAGCGGCTCCTGTGGTAGAGGCGTTGGAGGCGGTTAGGGGTGTGTAGAGGCGTTGGAGGGGTAGCGGTGTTGGTGAGGGCGATTGGAGGCAGTAGGCAGTTTTGTGGTAGCCAGGCGTGAGGTAGGTGTGGTAGGAGGCGTAGGTGGGTGAGGGGTGTGTAGCAGACGCTTGAAGGGGGTAGGGGACTGTTGGTAGAGACGGTAGCGAGCGGGTAGGAGTGCCAAGGGTGGTGGTAGCCAGGCGTTGGAGGTAGGTGGGGTAGAGGCGTACGGAGTGAGGCGGTAGGGGTGTGGGAGATGCGTTGGAGGGTCAGCAGTGTGGTAGAGACGTAGCGATGGCGGTAGGGGTCGTGTGTAGAGGCGTTGAGGGCGTAGCGGGGTGTGGTAGAGGCGTTGAGTTGGGTAGGAGTGTGCGTAGAAGCGTTGGAAGGGGTAGGGTGTGCTATGAGGCGTTAGGAGTGGTAGGGGTGTGGCAGAGGCGTATGGAGGAAGTAGCGGGTGTGATAGAGACGTTGGAAGGTAGCAGGTGTGGTTAGAGGCGTTGGGTAGGGGTTGTGGTGAACGTAGAGGGTAGGGGTGTGGTAGAGACGTTGAAGGGCGGTAGGGGGTGATTGGTAGAGACGTTGGATGGGGGTAGGGGATGTGGTAGAGACGTTGGAGGGGTTAGAGGTGTTGTAGAGGCGTTGCGAGGGGTAGGGTGTGGTAAGCAGGCGTAGACGTTAGGGGTGTGTAGGAAGCGTTGGAGGGAGTAGCTGTGTGGTAGAGGCGTTGGAGGGGTAGGGGTGTGGTAGAGGCGTAGGATGGGGTAGACAGGTGCTGACTGGTAGCAGACCGATTAGAGCGGGTAGGGTGTCTTTGTGGGTAGACGTTGCGATCGGTTAGGCGTGTGTGTGGCTCGAGGCGTTGGAGGCGGTAGGGGGTGGTAGAAGCGTTGGAGGTTAGCGGGTTGGTAGGGTAGTGCGTGTGGAGGGGTAGGGGGGCTGGGGTGAGAGGGCGTTGCGAGGGGTGGCTGTGTGTGTGTGGTTAGCAGGGGAGCGGGCGGCGTGTGGGGGGGGTGGTAGGGTGTGGTAGAGAGTGCGTAGGAGGGGTAGGGTTGTAAGAGGCGTTGGATGAGGGTAGCGTTGTGAGGCCGTTGGAGGGGTTAGTGGTGTCGCGCTAGAAGCGGGGGCAGGGGTAGGGGATGTGGTAGAGCTTTGGAGGGTAGGGGCGTGGTAGATGGCGTTGGTAGCGGGGGGGGTAGTGCGGTTGTGGTAGAGGGACGTAGGAGNGCGTGGCGACCTCGGTGGCTTCTGTACACGCTATACATTGACATAATATATCTAACGCACAGGTCAACATCTGTCGCATGCGCGTGCACGCAAGCATAGACAACGAAACACATATCCGACACTGCTAAAACGTACTCTGCATAATATTCTCAGCCTAGTCAGACAGATGCTTCCAGTAAACTAAGCCGCAAGAGGGCGCGAGTGTCCACATTATATTTAACATGGAATATATGGAGAATATTATGGGATATCAATGAATGCATGGGTAGATCGTACCAGGGATTAATAATGACAAATCGATGACAAATTATGACAAATAATGTCAATTTTATAATGGCATTCGTCATTATAAACCCCTGGTCG